TAGGGTTTAGGGCTTAGGGTAGAGGCAGGGCCCCAGAACGACGAACCGTGGCCGAAAGCTGGCATCCGAGAGGTGCACTGCCCCTGAGTAAAAGCCCGCTCATGCTTTCCGGGCCGTTATTAGTGTCTGTGTCATCTACGATCGGAGTGCTTCTTGACCTGCATTGCGGATGAGGAGCTTGCCTCGGGATCCCATACTACAATATACACTTATGAGTAAGCTGTCCATCCCGCTATCCTTCTGAAGACGAGCCTAGACGGGGGCTGTTGCAAGGCTCAGCTCCGAGCTGAACTTGATGTCTTGCGGGTAGCCGGAGGCGTTCAGGAAGCCATAGCCGTTCTTCTCGCTGTATTGCTTTACGATGCCGATCCTTGGTCTTGCTGCTGTGTCGAAGTAAGGGACCCCTCCGCAGCCGTACGCTTTAAACAACCGCTAAGCTCCTACCTCCTTTGACAGCTGGGACTTTTGCCTGAACCGCTAAGTCCCGAACCCTAAATTGAACTGTCCACCGGACCTCGAGGACCTCGGCAAGAAAAGAATGCCAAGAGTGCTTTTCCAATATACCGAACGTGACACACAGTGGTCCCAGGGATTTGAGGCTTGCTGGCACAAAAGGGCTCATCAACCACTCAGCTGCAGCTGCGGGAAAGCAACCACCAACAAAATAACTATTGCGACACACTCCGCTTTGCCACCACTGAAAATCCATGGACAAACCCTAAACCCGAACCCCAAACCCTAAACCCACGAATTGTTTGTCCATGCCGAGGGTCATTGAATTGAGCCCTGTTGCTGCGGCTAGGGCTGTAGGCCTCGGAATCGAAGCTCCCGGGAACAACCAACAACTGCTTTTTTCGTAGGATCCCTTGCCCCATCTATCTGAGGGTCAAAACAGTACTGTAAAGTCTGTAGGAGGGCGTTTACCCAGAACCTACTAAGAAGTAGGTTCTGGTGGTTCCCTGAACCCTAAACCCTAAACCCCAAGCTTAATAAGGTTGCTGCAATCGTAGGACTTCATCTCGTACCGACGCAGCCCTGGGCTTGGGCAATCCTTTCGTATCCTGAATCAGGTTTCGGCGCTCACACTCGGACACTCCAGGCGAGGCATGTGGTTCGAGGTCTGCCTGAATAATGGTTTAGGGTTTATAGGGTTTGTAACACGAACTCTTCCTTCAAGTGTACACCTAGGGCCCGGAA